TGAAATGTAGAGATCATGGCCTGCCAAAACATTAATGTCAGGATTCTACCTGACCGTTAGTTTATCTTAACAGAGTGCGTCTCTTAGGCAAATCAGCATGTTAAAGCTTAGTATCTAAACATGCTTGGACATGTTAGTCGATTAAATAAGAAGGTTGTTGCAAATATACATTTGTTTGGGAAGTAATGAACTGACAAGTTCTGTGAGAATTTGTAACAGATGTTTTGAAATGGTTGAATTGCTATCAAACACGGTCCCAGGTTTACTTGAAGTCATCAAGATTTTTCTTTTTTCCCCCAACATTTCAAGGTCAAGTTATTAATGTTCAAAATGATCATTTGAGGGTGTGGTATTCCATTACAGACTAGACCACATGTGTCAAACTAAAGGCCCGGTGTCCAAATCAGGCCCTTGGTGGATTGAATTTCGGCCCGCAGGATAATTTTTCATTACTATTAGATCTGGCCCGCCGGTATATTGCACGCACACCTTCACTCCATCCTGAGGATTTCCTCAGCTCAGAGCCTGAGCCCAAACATAGATGAACTTGCTCCCAAGATGAGATGCCAAGTATCTGGCTTGAACTAGCATCACAGAGCAGCACACTGAGTTTAATGGATGTTTCCTTCTGCACTTTTTCTCTCACGACAACAGGGCATGTTTGTTTTTTTCTTTGCGAGAAAGAGTTTTTTTGAAGCTGTTGTTGGCCTGTGGAAAAATGTAATCATAAGAAATGACTCTGGAAAAGCTTCAGATAGAGCCTTAAGAAATGAATGCAACTGATTATTTAATGTTTAATGTTGTTTTTATAGGCTATCATTTAAGCTTTGTTAGTTCCAGGTTTAATATGTGCAATGAGTTCATTTCAATAAGTTCTGCAATAAACATTGAACCAGTCCGGCCCTCGACTAGTACCGATGTTTTTATTTTGGCCCACTGTGTATTTGAGTTTGACACCTCTGGTCTAGACACTCTTCATAGAAACTGGTCTCTCTCTCTAGAATCATATATATTAAACTACTGGATTATAATTGTTATGCAATAATGTGTTCATCACATCTGGTAAATGTGGAGCTATACTTAATTAATTACTTATACCACTGCTGGAGATTTTAACATATAATTATACATCTTAGTTTGTTTACTAACAAGTTTGTTTATTTATATTTTGTATAAGCTAAAGATCTGAATTTTAAATAAAACATTTTAAGCAAGGTACAAGTAGCCAAAAATCATAATTAAGACTTAAGACAGAGCCTTTGCTGTTGCAGCTCCAAAGTTACGGTACGAATTGCCCCTCCAGGTTAGACTTGCTCCAACTCTGCCCGTTTTGAAATCTTGTTTAAAAACCCACTTCTTTTCCCTGGCATTTACAGACCAGGTGACACTTGTGCTTTTAAATTTGGGTTTTATCTTACTAGTGTTTTGTATTGTTTGTACGTCATGTAGGAGAGTTTTTCAGTCTGTGCCTTCTGATCTGGTTTCATTGTTTCGTGTTTTACATTTGTTTCATGTCCTGTCTGTTTTTTATGTATTTATGCTATGTTTTTATACAGTTGTTGATGTACAGCACTTTGTTCAACTCNGGCGGAGGCTCTTGATGGTGAAGCGGGCACAATGCCCGCACGAACCGGGGGTATCGATAGCTTCCTGGGCGTGTTCCAGCCCAAGGCAGGACGAGCAGACCTGGTGTGAGTCCGTGCCCGAGATCTTAAACCCGCAGCCCTCCGAGCCTCCGAACCTCCGACTCCTCTGGTGTGAGGGAGAGAAGGGTCCATCCTCGTTTGCCGGGGTGTCGGCGCGGAGGGACAAGCTAGTAACAGGTATGTTACCGAAAAAAATCCAACCTTATCGTTATTCCGAGAGGAAAAAACAACGGGGTCGATTTTTCTTTAAAAAATATTAACTGATGTGTTAATATCTTTCTTATCTCCGTCTCCTCTGGTGTGAGGGAGAGAAGAGTCCGTCCTCGCTCTCCGTGGGGTCGGCGCGGAGGGATAAACTAGCAAGAGGTATGTTACTGTTTGAAGAAAAAAATCAAACCTTACCGTTATTTCGAAAGAAAAAACTGCGGGGCAGATTACAATATTAACTGGTGTGTTAATATTTGTTCAATTCGTCTGCAAAGCAAGAAAGTAACCGGCAAGTGCCCGTCGACCGAATCTTAGCTTGGGTTCAGTCTGTGGACTGTTAAGCTAGCCCGGCTACTGATATTCGAGATGTGCTCTGAAGCGAGAAGAGGTGTTTGAATGACGCTGCAACGTAGCGCAAGCTACTTAAAGGGTGGGTGGATTCCCTGACGTAGACGTCAAGATCACCAGCCCATCAGAATTGGCGTAATGAGATTGATGCTTCTGTTTGCATTCACGTTGAGGCGCATCCCATTGTGAGACATCGAACGGAGTGTTATGAATGAGAACTACAGTGTTCTATACAACAAACTACATGGATGTTTAATAAGAACAAGGGACTACTGTAAACTCATCTAGAGACTCTGCACCTTGCTCTGATGCTGTTGTTTTATGCTTTATGAACGTGGACAACAGAGAAACATATTATTCATGACCAAAGTTGTAATTGAAATAAAAACGGAAAGTGAAATGTGTGCTCGTCACCCTCTCCCTCCGGTCCACATTAATACAAATGATCCCAATACGTATGATTGTATGAAAATATCTTAAAATAAATACAAATGTATTTATTATAAATGTTAGTCCTTAACATCTATCACTGTGTATATCAATGGTGATATACACAGTGATAGATGTTAAGGACTAACATTTATAATAAATACATTTGTATTTATTTTAAGATATTTTCATACAATCATACGTATTGGGATCATTNACGGGCGAAGTGGTAGTTCACGAACCGGGGGTATCGATAGCTTCCTGGGCGTGTTCCAGCCCAAGGCAGGACGAGCAGACCTGGTGTGAGTCCGTGCCCGAGATCTTAAACCCGCAGCCGCAGGGCCGAGCCTCCGACTCCTCTGGTGTGAGAGAGAGAAGGGTCCATCCTCGTTTGCCGGGGTGTCAGCGCGGAGGGACAAGCTAGTAACAGGTATGTTACCGAAAAAAATCCAACCTTATCGTTATTCCGAAAGGCAAAAAAGACGGGGTAGATTTTTCTTTAAAAAATATTAACTGGTGTGTTAATATGTTTCTTATCTCCGTCTCCTCTGGTGTGAGGGAGAGAAGAGTCCTTCCTCGCTCGCCGTGGTGTCGGCACGGAGGGATAAACTAGCAACAGGTATGTTACTGTTTGAAGAAAAAAATCAAACCTTACCGTTATTTCGAAAGAAAAAACGGCGGGGCAGATTACAATATTAACTGGTGTGTTAATATTTGTTCAATTCTTCTGCAAAGCAAAAAAGTAACCGGCAAGCGCCCGTCGACCGAATGTTACCTTGGGTTCAGTCTGTTGACCATTAAGCTAGCCCGGCTACTGATATTCGAGATGTGCTCTGAAGCAAGAAGAGGTGTTTGAATGACGCTGCGACGTAGCGCAAGCTACTTAAATTGTGGGTGGATTCCCTGACGTAGACGTCAAGATCACCAGCCAATCAGGATTGGCGTAATGAGATTGATGCTTCTGTTTGCATACGCGTTGAGGCGCATCCCATAGTGAGACATCGAACGGAGTGTTATGAATGAGAACTGAGGATGGCCTCTCGTTCTTGATATGCAGTCAGACTAGACTTGCTCAGTGATTTGTTTAATTTATGATAGCTTAGATTAAAACCATGCTCTAAATCAACAACTCAAATCACAAAATGATACAGTTTCTTCTCAAAGACTCACTGTGGTGTGGCCTATATACAAATGCATTTTATAACAATAGTTATACTTCTATTGAACAAATAGGAAGTTCTTTCACAGACCTTCGCCATAAACTAAAGCCATTGTAACCTGTTCAATATGTGAAGAAAACTGAAGGTTAATCCTTCATCAAATTAGCCACGTCCTTCAGCAGTTTCAGTTTCCACAGATCTATGGATGATAAGGTCAGACAATGCTCCTTGTTTTGAGAGGGGGAACTCACTTGGCTCCAGCAATTTTTTGCACTTACAAAGACTTTGAGTTTCTCAAGAGCTAATTTAAAGTAAATTAGACTAATTCTATTTAATGAATGCAAACTTTACCTCCCTTTCAAATGTATTTGAAATGCTTGTCCTTTCACAATATTCAAGACAATCAGGCCACCCTAAACTATTGAGTTAAGTGTGATTTAAATAAAATTGAATGATTGCAGGAAAGAATACTGTTTTACCATTTATTTTGTATATGTTATGTAATAGATTCTACTCTTGGGATTGAGAATAAAGGTTGACCTAATTGTTGAGGCAGTAGATTGAATTTTCTCTCAGCTGCCAGTTGTACTGCAGGATCTGTAAAGACCCTCAGAGGAATTCACAAAGTGTTGGACTCTTTTGGACTCGGTTGTAAGTAGCATTGCAGTGAGTACAAAGTGCTATTCATAGTCCAGATACTTGATACACTTGGCAAATCGAAAGCTTGAAAGAGCATTAATGTCTTAAACAAATTAATTCCCTAGTCTCATCTGTGACATCAGTGGAACAACTCATCTGGAATAATTACATGTTGTTAAGATGGACTGAATTTCACAGAAACAGGACATTGTAGCTCTTTCTGGAGTAGCTTATAGGTCTTCTTGTTTCCTGTGCACCTCCCATGCCCAGCTTGCTCATGTTTCATTCATTTAAGTCCGCTTGTGCGCGCGCACACAGTCCAGATCCCCGCTGGACATATTTAGTTTTATCAACAGAGTTCATTGTTCCCTGTGATGATATTGAACACTGACAAAATAACAGTATGTCTGTTGTCATGCCACAGCCCCGGATTATCTCCCATTTTCTGAGGAGGCTGAATAAGTGGGCTGGCCCGGTTGGTCCTGAACCTCAGCAGGTGGGACGGGCCAAACAGCCACTCTGGATCTCCCAGCCTGTTGTTGCATACACCTGAGCAGGATTCAGAAGGGCAGAAGATGGTTTTTCTAACAACCAAAGTGATGCAAAGGACTGCACTCTTTGTGACGTTTGGGGGTTTGGTCACATGTCTGATCACCACCTTCCTGCCATTTTGGAAGACGATGAACTCCGACCTGAACGAAGTGGAGAACTGGTTTTCTGGACTGTGGCACACCTGTCTTTACACCGAGGAGGTGGGAATTCAGTGTAAGGCCTACGACTCCATCATGGGGCTGCCGATGGACCTGCAGGTCTCCAGGGTGCTCATGTCGGTGTCCATAGTCACTGGAGGTTTATCTGTCATGGCTGCCTTCCCAGGGCTGGAGGGGGTGGACATGTGTGTTGGGCAGCCCAGCGTGAAGAGGCTGCTCCTCGTCTTCAGCGGGGTGCTCTCCTGGGTGTCCGGGCTCACCACTTTGGCTCCCGTCTCTCTCGTGGCCTACACAACTGTGGTGGAGTTCTGGGACAAGGGTTTTCCTGATGTGATGCCACGCTGGGAGTACGGCGAGGCGATGTTCTCGGGATGGTTTGGAGGTCTTGCTCTGATCATCGGAGGGACTCTGTTCTTTGTGGCTGTGTGCATGGGGGACTACGAACAGATGCCACCAAGTGAGCCACGCAGCCCGCAGGCAAAGCACAGGACAAGGCACTACCAGAAGACAGAGGTGTTATAGATTCTTATTGCCATTCACACAATATACTCCATAGGCCCGTCAGCTTGCAGAGTGATAGCATAATGACATTAATTGTGAATTTTTGTTAAGAAAACATTTCTGACCTAAGTGACCTAAAAGCTGCATGTGTTTAATTGTTCATTTCTGAATCAAATTGTAACACATTAATGTAATCTCTGTTTCTGGGTTATTATGAGTTGACCTCATCAAGTTTTACTACTATTAAATGTCTCATAATAAGCAACTGTAGTATTTCTTTAAAGTCCACTGACACGGCAAAAATAAGACAGGATGGCAATATTTCCTGATGCACATAAAACTTTTTGTTACATAAGAATTAAATTCCCAGATTGATTGACAATTTATTTAATCACAGCAGTTCTTTAAATTGACCCAATCAATGTTACTATTGTTTTTTGATCACATGAAAATGTTTTGGTACTGCGTTTATATTTGGAAAAACAGGCTTTACATGAGAAACACAGAAAATACAGGTTTTCACATAATTTTTTATTTCCATACAGTATCTATTTATCTGTTGGATAAATCTTTCATCCTTCCAGCTTATAAATGAATAAACAATACGTTTACATTACATTTCATTTAGCTGACTCTTTTTATCCGAAGCGAATTACAATGACGAATTACAGGGACATTCTCCCTGGAGTAACTAAGGGCTAAGTGCCTTACTCAAGGGCACACTAGTGGTGGTGTTCCTGGCGGGATTTGAACTCACAACCTTCTGATCTTCAGCCCACCTCACTATCCATTAAACCACCACTACCCCATGGTAGTTACGTCATTAGTGGCACTGTTACCTCCATCTAAAGTCCTTTGGAAAGTATATAAAGACAGCAGTAACTAAGCAAACTGGCTTCTCTCCAGCCCAACGAGCCAGTGTATTACTTCAAGGAACTCTGATCATATAATTAAAATACATGAATGTCCAACATGGTGGTGCACAGTGTCTCCGAGTCGCTGCCGGGAGAAGTGAATATAGCCGGGGTTGCATTCCAGGGCTGGAGCTCCTCTGTGTTACATTTCGTTTCGGGGAGGGGAGGCTTGGCCCCAGCAGCTTCTCTTAGTCCTTAATACATTACTTGGTGTTGGATTACTGCTCTGCATACATAGTGATGATTAGAAACTGATCTTGACATGTGTTTTAAATGTTTTGAGAATAGTTATCAGTGGTGTAATGTAGTGATGTAATATTATACTTAATCCAATCCATTTTATTTCTATAGCACATTTAAAAACAACAGAGTTGAACAAAGTGCTGTACATCAACAACTGTATAAAAACATAGCATAAATACATAAAAAACAGACAGGACTCAGACACGAAAGACTAAAGACCAAGAGTAACAAAGCAACAAATGTAANGACCATTTACCATCAAAATTAACTTTATTTATATGTTTTGTTATTAATATGAACCTGCAAAGAAACTAACATCACCAAACAAGTTAGATGCTGCGTATCACAGTGCACTGAGATTTGTGACAAACTGTAAAGCATTAACCCATCACTGTACCCTGTATGCAAGGGCTGGTTTGCCTTCGCTAACTGTACGGAGGCTCAGTCACTGGTACATTTTCATATACAAAGCCATGTTAGGGAAACTTCCATCCTACATCTGCTCCCCGATCTCACGGTGAATTGTAAGTGGCTACTGCCTGAGATCGCATGCTGTAGTTTTATTAAATGTGCCAATTGCTAGGACTGTCTTAGGGCAGATAACATTTAGATGTGCAGCTCCACTGTCTTGGAATAGTCTGCAATTGAAATGGAAACTGAGCAATCTGGTGCCACTAAATGTTTTTGAAGCTCGGTTGGATGCTACACAATCGGAAGCTGTTGGTACCTGCTCATGTGGATAGTTATGTACATTGTAAACCCTGTAATGACGCTGTAAGATGTCCTTTTTGTTGTTCTGTATGTTTTTATGTTTCATGTGGAACCTACTTGAGCAGGTCTCCCTTGAAAAAGAGATCAATGATCTCAATGGGATACACCTGGATAAATAAAGGTTTGAAATGAAATGAAATGAAAGTGTAATGGTGTAAAATGAACAAAATAAAACGAAATATTTGCTTCTGAATTGTAGCAAAAGGAAAAAGTAGCATACAATGGAAATACTCAAGTAAGTACCCCAAAATTGTACAGTACTTGTAGTTTATGACTCCAGAGGTATGAAAGCTGAGATTCCACAGATTCCATGGGTATAAGTCTCATCACTGTACGACTGCAAATAAACTAACATCACCAAATAAGTGTAATGGTGTAAAATGTACAAAATAAAAGTAAATATTTGCTTCTGAATTGTAGCAAATGGAAAAAGTAGCAAACAATGGAAATACTCAAAGTACCTCAAAATAGTTCAGTAATTGTAGTTTATGAGTCCAGAGGTGTGAAGATGCAGATGTAGGACATACATGTTTCTATCCGTGGCTCGTTGTAGAGGATTAGCAGGTTGATGCATTGTCCTTTGTCAGCAGTAACCCTGACTGCCATTTGTAAGGAGCAGGAGTGAGGTGCAACGCCTCTCAGCCATTCGCTGGCATTTCCCTAATCACTCCGTCTCATCTTTTATTACCTCGGAAAGTCGTTCTCCTCTTGGGTGCTGGCACTGCGGATGTTTTTACCGCCTGCAGTATTCAACATTTTTGTCAGCGGCCAAACGGAGGAGAGTAGACGGAGGGTAATGTGACTGTCAATAATATTCTCACTTTACTCCTGGGAATTACCCTTACTGACTCTCGCAGGTCTGCAAAACTACATATAGAGAATATTCCTTCGTGAAATGTCACCTTTGGGATAGAACTATTCTCCTGTAATCCACATTATTAGTACTCTGAACAACAACATCAGTCAGTGCAATAAACCATGAAACCCTCTGCTTTTCACAACGTACTGATTTTAAAACAGCTGAAGGGAAGCCATAATCATTATTGATTGACCACAATGGAGATAAATGATCCTCTATTGTGTTATCGTAAACATTTTCAATAAATACATATTTGTAGCAGCGTTTGAACTCCAATAAATGAAACCAATCATATTTTTAGCACATTAGTTGTAGAGCAGGGCAAAAGTGTGTATGTTTGGGTGGTATTTACCTGTAATATTATCTATGAATTTCTCTATATGTCCTTTACTTTAAATACAGTTTTCTGGAGTTTAAAGAGGTTTTTCTGTTTCAAATAAAACCACACATTTTTCCCTGCAGTTTCCAGTAAACAAGATTTTCTTACGGTGAACAATGTTTGGAAAAGAAAAGGAAAATTGAGAGAAAACTAACAGGCTGTGGGTTGTGGCAAAATCCCTCAAAAATAATGGAAAGTGTATTTCATAACAATGTGTTTTATAATCCAACTTGAAATGTCAAAAATAACAAAGCAGATACATTCACGGATTTAAAAAGACCATGTGGCTTGGAAAAAAGTGGTCCGCTTCATGGTGACCCTCCACTATTGGAAGGTTTTTATAGCTGGCCAAAGATAGACTCACACATACAGACATCACCCCTTTTATCCGAGTGGATAACATTTAATGGCCCCCTCTGTGGTGCCAATAGATCCCTGTTGGTAATTCCTGCCCACTGTAATGTCATCTTGTTTCTATAAAAGGGGACGAGATGAAAGAGGGATGGTGTAAGTGTTTAGGCCCTGCCTGGCCACTGAACCTAGTTTGCTCCAAATTAGAGATTGAAAAGAGGGGTGTGTGTGGGTGGGGGGTTTGAGGGCGGGGTGCCGAGTGGTGCAATGGAGGGAGACAAAGAGGGAGAGGGGCTATATTTAGTCTGACCCGAGTGCCTGTGTGTGGAGCAGGCCTCGCAGAGAGACAGGTGCAGCGGCTGGTCATTATGGAGGCTCACTTTCAGCGGCTGATAATGGGGCCTCATCTGACAACTACCTATATCTCTACCTCACCGCCTATATTTAGCTCCGATTTGGGACCAGTGGTTGGGGCTTAGAGATGTGTGTGTGTGTGTGTGAGTGTGTGTTTGTGTGTCAAAATGTGCTCTGGGACTCCCGAGAAAAACAGTTGGTGCGAAGCTGGGGATTGGACCCAGGCGCAGCGGTCTCCAGGGACACTGGCATCTGTTTGAAGACGACGACATACTGTGTTAGCGTTGTTTGTTCAGGCAACGCAGCCAATCAGAGAGGTGCTCCTGACCTGCAGGGTAATGCAGCTCAGCATTTCACTAATATGAGCCGCCTTGCAGTTTGTCATATCTCTGTAACATCTGCTGGCCTGCGCAAGTGTGAATTACATGTGTCTTCTTTGTTTTTGCAACACAATCTCTAACTGCTGATGTAACACTTCATTGATACCGTTTCACAGTCTGTCAAGTATTCAAGAGATGACATGTTGGCATTAAGCAATTTTGCAAAAGTGTTTACGCACTATATAAAAAAAGCTGTTTGTTTAGAAATCTGCTTGTGTCAGGAGATTGCAGAGGACTGTATTTCTTTCCTGTTTTGATCCGTATTTTGTTACTCACACAGCTTGTCTCTCAACACAAAACAAATATTGGCCGCCATGTATCAAGTGTAGTCCATCATATCTCTCTATCCTCTGCCCGGCTGTTTGAGGACCCAATACCCCAAGGGAAAGACAGAGAAGAAATAGGAACTAGTCAGAGTTTCAGAACTGTTCAACCTTGGACTGCTCCCTGGAGAAAAATGCTGAGTCACTATAGCAAACCTAAAATAAAACGTCATTGCTCTAACTTTCTGAAGTTAAAACAGTGTATGGACACCCTGTTTCTTCATAAGGTTGTCTTAAAGGAATAGTATTAGTACGTTGAAATGAAGAAAAAGCAAGCAAACACCAGCATCCAGTTAGCTTAGCTTAGCATGTTAGCAAGACTGTTAATGTGGAAAAACAGCTTGCCTTGTAACAAAACCCACCTACCAGTAACTCCAAACTCACTAATCAACACGTGCTATCTTATTTGGTCAATCTATACAACAACCAAAGTGTCAAAGTGACACATTTCTGTTTTAAATAGGGTTAATGTGTCAGACTATTTTTGGTCAGGTGCAGTGACCACAAGGTCTTGTCGTGACCCTGCCAGGCAATCTCCAAAAAGAGAAACAAAAACTTTTAGGAGACTTCCACATGAGTGATATTGATTGATGTTCTGCAAGTCAAAAATAAGTCTTAAAGGTGGGGTAGGTCATTC